TGAGTGAGAGTGGGGGTGAGTGAGAGTGAGTATGAGTGAGAGTGGGTGTGAGTGAGAGTGAGAGTGAGAGTGAGTGTGAGTGTGAGTGAGAGCGAGAGTGAGAGTGAGAGTGAGAGTGAGAGGAGTGAGAGTGAGTGTGAGTGAGAGTGAGAGTGAGTGAGTGAGTGAGCGAGAGTGAGAGTGAGAGTGAGAGTGGGTGGGTGTGAGTGAGAGGAGGAGAGTGGGTGGGTGTGAGTGAGAGTGAGAGTGAGAGTGAGTGAGTGAGTGAGTGTGAGTGAGGCACAAAAAATATGAGCAAGTTCTGACCATGAAAAAAGGTTCCACGGTGCGAGACACTGCCGTGCATCGAGCAAAAGGAGCTGGGCGCGATTGTTTCAGGGTGGCCGCACGTAGAGGGTTTTGAGGAAACTCACATAAAGCTTAGCTTTAAAAGGCTTGACATGTGGGGTTTTTATTCGGATTGGTAGAGAAGATCGATCGTGAACAGCACAGTAAAAAAATGGTAGCCGCACATTATTGGCCAACAGCACTGATTGTTGAAAGCTCTGATGGGGGGTCGGGTCACTTTTGAGACTGTCTGCAGATTTCTCTTCTTCAGACTCTCCCAGGCGCTCGCATTGTGGCCCTCAGCAAGGTGCTGTTCCTCAGCTGTGCTGTGGCCCCACGGCTTGAGGAAATCCGGCATCCGGCTTGGGAGGTGGAGGACTGGATGTTCGTCTCAAAAAATCCATCTTAGAAGCTGGCCGAACTCGTCCCCAAGTCTTCCATGTATTTCATACCAGATGGAGGGACAAGGAACAGAACAAGATCACCTAGTGGATCACCTTTTTGATGGATTCGTTTCCTGGATGGACACAACAATTTGCTGGTGAGTCAAAGCGCCTTCAAGGGAAGCATCCGAAAGTGTGAATGGTTTGTCATCGCTCCAAAGACCATGGCTTGTTCGATTTGACTCCTGACACCCATAATTGTCTCTGCATTGCTCTGGCTAACCTAGACAGTACGGCGCCTCTGATCGCTCCGCTGGTGCCAGGCCCCCCGCGACCCACGCGACACGTGTCATGCGACACGTCCGTCGTCGATGCTTCGTCCAAGGTGTCACTGAGCAACATCGTGGGAACGGTGGTCATGGGTCCTCTTCTGGGCATTTCGCCCGAAGTCACCCTGGCTGCGACCATGAGGCACCGCCGGCGCACCGACGAGTTCTGAGAATTTCCAGGAATTTCTTTGGGAATTCCTCAAAGAACGACAACTCAAAGAACGCGTCATGGACCCTCACTGGCTTCAGACTTCCGCTTCTGCGCCCACCGGTGAAGCGGCGAATCTCCTGGCACTGCCGCCCCCGGTCGGCTTCCGGTCGCACGCCGTCGCGAGGTGTGTGACGATTCCGATGGCCCTGCCCACCTACGCTCGACTCTGTGAAGAAAGTGGTGCTGAAAACAATGTGGCTCTCGTTGCGCTGTGTGCAGGCACAAAAATGGCACAAAACTATACTGTACTGCTCCAAAAGAGAGAGAGAGAGAGAGAGAGAGGAGAAGTCAGGGAGAAGATTTGACAAAGAGTCTACATGTTTGGTTGGCTTGTGTCCTGGTTTCTTCCCGGTTTCTTCCAGCAGTCCACCAATTCGTGGCTCACCTCGTTTGACATCGGCTTTGCAACGGTCCAACGGTCCGCGGCCGCGAGCCAGGCCTTTCGGGCTTCATCGGGTCGGGGCCTTGAGGATCGTACTGTAAGGGCCGGATGAACTGTTTGAGAAGACATTGATCAGATTTCACAGACGCGAATGGTTCTGAAAACACATCCGTCAACCAGCTTTTTTTGAATGTGTTTCCATCCAACAAACCAGCAGTTTGTCTGAGTCTCCAGCTCTAGTACGGACTTCCAGTCATTTGGAAGCAGACCTCTCACTCACACACCAGTTTTCAGGCCTCCTTCATGTAACCATCCGATGTTCTTCCAAAAAAAATCGGGTGGATCCACGGCTTCTCTCGTCTTCCTCGCGAGGTTTGGCTTCTCGCAACGTTTGCTGTCCTCCGCGGCGTGTCACGCGCATCTGGATCCGGTCGCTGGGCGAATCGAAGTGGTGGAAGAACGTAGGTGTGGGATTTGGGGGGGTCCGAAACAAAATCCGAGTTGGAGTAATCAACAAAGAACTATTGCAAAAAGCCAATGAAATACAATTTTCTTGGTGTCTGTTCATGTATTTGTTTCTTTAATGCCTATAGTTTTATCTACTTGAAGCTATGGGCTATCCCACCGATGACCAGTGTCCACTACCGGATCTCCGGTTGGACCAGTGTCGAGTGTCCAGGATTTGGGTGATCAGAAGCCCAACAAAAGGCCAAGTAAGTGGCGATGTTTGGTGCAACATCACCCAGGTTGCACAAGTTCACGCCATGGGCAGACCACTGTTAGTAGAGAGAGAGAGAGAGAAAAAAAAAACACCACTAGCGATGGCCTCCAAGCGTGGTTTCTCCCCATTCGAATCATGTTGAGATGACAAGTTCTTACACAACTGCCCCAGGTAGCCCGTGGCATTGCCACAGGGGCGGCAGCGCACGCACTGGGCGCGGCCTGTCTTGTGGCGGCGGAGCCAGAGGCCAACATCAAAGGGTTTGGTGGTTTCAATTTGTTTGATGGGTGGGTGTAACGGTTGGGCAAGCTAGCTATTTGATGGGTTGGGTACAAGTGCCAAGAAAAGAGTTTAGCCCTTTAGTCTATTGCATTGCCATGATTGTTCTCAAATTCAACACTTGGGACAGCTTGGTTGATGGTACTGCACGTAAGTCTACATCCCCCACAATGACTCTTGGCTCAAAACCCCAAGTGGTGGTGCTCTATATCATTTATAAATAGGGATTGGCCATCCTCAGTCTTGCAGGATTTGCGGGTCTACATTGGATGTGTTTGGCTGTCGGGCGCCTTCATCGTCCCCCAAAACGGGTCTCTCGTTTCCAGGCGTTCGTGTGGGGCATGCTGGCCATGGCCGTGTCAGGAGCAGGAACCTCAGACACATGACATTGACTATTTTTATTGCGGTAAGGCTGGAAATGGAAGAGGGATGTGATTAGCTACATCATCATGATAATAGATGATCATCATCGTCGTCGTCATTTACATTTCCTCAGAGTCATCCTCATCGTCATTGATTGTTGGCTGAAAGCGCCCAAAAAGGTTGACTTACTCCTTCGGCGGGGGCTCTGAGTCGAGCTATCGATGCCTTTCGGTGAACCATTTTGGGCTTTGTTTCGGTGAAGATTCCATGTTGTTTCCCCCCTCGCAATGGATGTCTTAAGAGCAACCAGGCGGTTTCCCTTCGGCCATCTATCACGTTGCTGGCGCTTTTTGACCCCACCTTCTCCCAAAGCTCCATGGATCGTCATGTACGATCGCCCACCGTCTTCTGCTCGGGTTGGATCCAAGCGCCCCAGGTGGCATCTTCTGCTTGGATCTGCGCCTGCGCCCCGCTGCGGGAGACACTTCTGTCCTTGGCCTACCGAAGGGCCGAGCACGGCGGTTGACGCGCGGCTGACTGCGGAGGAGAGCGACGGAGAGACGGTCCGGTGGCGCCATGTACATAGAGCATTTTTCCGAGCAAACAATTCAGTGCGGGTCAAGCTGGGGATGTGAGATGTGAAGACGTGCTGCAGATTTGGATAAGTCCACATGTGTAGTCTTCTGCAGAATCTGCTACAAGGAGTTCAGTGACTGGCAGAATCTGACAAATCAAAGCCTAAAGCGCACATCCGCGTGTCTGACTGCATGATTGCGCTGTTTCAGCTTAAAGAATCATGTATGTTTTTTACATGACAGGAAAACAAGCTGAATGGAGAACGGATAGCTTGAACATGCAGTGACCTATACACATTTGTCAGTTTGTTAAGATACAAGCAACAACCTTGCAGGAATGTGTACGGGTATGGCTAGCATGTACAGTACAATACCTTTGTTCGTTAGGGAGATGTAGAAAGGATTCGAAGTTGATGGTGCAAAACGCAGACATCCCCTCTTCGTATGGGTGCAAATGTAAACCAGGATTGTCCAAGCTGCTCTGAAGCCACTGCAAGTGTAACTTGGTGCCTCTCATTGAAACAGACTCGGCAACCCGCCATGGACGTCAAAGATGAGAACGTCATTTGGGAGGCCGTTCATTTTTGCTTGAGCCTCAGTATGTGGCTTGCCAGTCACCACCTTGGGTGGAATGCAAAAAATGCATGGAGATCTCCTGTTTGTGTTGACATTGAGCTTGGACAAGGCTTGTTCCCCGATCCGCATTGTACCGAGGTGTTGTTGATGAGTGCTCCTCTTGGGCTAGCCGATCTTGGTGCTGCATTAAAACGTTGCAACGGTCGTCTCGAAGTTCGCCAACAGGTTTCCACCGTTGATCCATCAACTTCCTGGTTTAGCTAGGTATATCTTGAGGTTCAGCCTCACACACGCTACTGTTGATGTGGACGCCTCTTTTTTTGTCCGCGCACGGACCATTGAGGACAACGAGAATTCAACAACTACAACGTCCACGCTCTCTAGCAGTTTCACGACAAGTAGTGCCACCTCAAGTTCGAGCACCACAACGACTCTCACCATGTCAAGCACAACAACATCTAGCAACACCACCTCCACTACCGAAACGACGACCACAGGCTCATCATCCACCAGCAGCATGACGAGCACCACATCCTCCAGCACGTCTTCATTGACCTTAAGCACCACCTCGAACTTCACCACCACCACAGGGACGACCACATCTCGTACCAACACAAGTCTTACGGTGACTACAACGACCCCGACCACTGCGACCTCCACGTGGCCTGACAGAAGTGACTTGTGGAGGAAGATGGTCTTCCGGAGCCATGCCATTCACGAGCCCCCCATGTGAGTTCGGAGTGTAAGGGGCTCATGAGGAGCACCGGATTTGGTTGTGGTACGGTACGACCAAAGTCTTTTCACTCCTTTTAAAGTGTCAACCAAGGCGCCATGACCCAAGTGGTCGCCCTTGTTCTCCAAATCAAGAAGCTGATTGGAAGGGGAGGATATTTTGACTCATGTTTTGTCACATTGAGACCTTACTGGCCTCACTTATATAAAATACTGTATAGTAAAATTAAAGACTCTCATGATGTCCAAAGCATCTTCCACTTGATCAAAGACCCGATGCCCTTGGGGGTTGATCCGGATTCGAAGAGGTGGGTAGAGGACGTGGAGGGGCGGGGTGAAGCAAATTGGTAGATGGAACTCGCAAGCCGATTGAACAGCCAATGCAAAATCAGCTGCCCTTCTCCATATTTTTCCTTTATCAAGCTTGAAATGAATGGGAACAGCTCGTGTTGTTTGTTTTCTTTGGTTTCACCTTCCATGTGTCTTAAATTCGGGAGGCCTACTTCTTTTTGGACACTAGTTGTCACGGAAGCTGAGGAAAGCTGCGTAGTTGACGCAGTAAGGAACGGGGTGAACTCACCACAAACACCGTAGACAGTAGGATCTGAGAAGGAATGGGCTCCTGATTTCAGCTTGTGCATGACGCTTTCAAAATCTTCCGTGACGTGGGGAGAGAAGCCATGAGAGTGGACTTGGCAGCATTTGCTCGAGAGTTTGGGCCATCTCAGGCTTACCAGCTCCACAGGGACCAGCAGCAGCGTTACCTCCACCATTTCGACCACGACCACGACGACCAGGGTCCGCTGACTCGGTCTTGCTGAAGTGGGCGAGAAGTGTGGCGAGAAGTGAGTGTGATCAGCGTTGCCAATGGTTTTCAACACCGTAATCTTCCAGTTTGGCAGGTCAGATTTGTGGCAAAGGGTAAGCTTCCTTTCGATGAAAACCACGTAGATGCGCAGTTTGAGGCTCATAATTCTCTTGCCTCCAGGTCTATCGTCTCTACATCGATGAGGCCCAAGTCTTTCCCAGTCATCTCAACGTCATCTTTAACTACCCAGCAAGGCAGGAATGTTCGGTGAATTTGGCGCCGTGCGCATTCGGTTTTGGTGTGAGTCAAGAGCACGGGACCTTAGTTGACACGAAGAGCACAGCGGGGATCTCGACCTTGGCCAAGAACCTGAGTGACCCCGGTTTTGGAGGATCAACTATCCAAAATTGGGCCATTTCCTATCAAAAAGGAGGTCACGTTTGGGCTCTAGGAACACACTGTTGCATTCGGCCGCGTTCAACCTCGGTCTCGTAGTCTCGGCCGAGTTCGCTGCCGGAACCAGGCCGTGAGTGGAACGAGGACCGGTCCTAACTCATAACGGGCCTTCACACACCCTGAGGCTTGCCAATGAGAACGACACCTGGAGTTGCGATGATTTGTGGGAAGAGGACTCGGACTCTTGGCACCGAAGAGTCCGCAGCCCGTCTGGACCCGTCGGACCCACCGTTGGCCACCGTTAGGTCAAAAGCTTTGGAGTGGAGCCGAGCTGTACGTTGTCCGATGACCAGAGAAGCCTTCAGGCACGAACCGGTGTCGTTCGGTCACAGGTTTGGTGGTGTCGGATACTCTCTAGAACTCACGATAGCAGGTTTCTTTTTAGGGGAAACACACATATTCTGAGACAACAGATCCACCTCCACCGTGTTTTCAAATAACATCTTTTCCATCTGTTTTCCCACTCTACCTGCGGAAGCGGTAAAAAAAGGTGGCCTTGGGGAAGCTGACGCGACTGGTGGTGGGAGACTTCGTGATGATGAAGTTTGGAGTGCTTCTTCCGCATGGCTTCATTGTCGTAGAGCCCACGGAGCTGTCGGCCGTTGTCATCACCAAAGCTCCTCTTGTGCCACTGCGCGCGGTGGCCCGATTTGGGAAGATGGAGGTTTTAATTGCTTTTCGCGGCTGTCTTATTTTGGAATATTTTGGATGCTTTTTGGAGCACCAGCTTCGTGTATAGCTATTTGTAGCGTATAGTTAACCTTTCAAGCAGGTCATGTAAAGAAACAGACACGTAGAGACTTCTCTTTCAGGTGCCCTAGCTAAGACAAGCTTTGCCTGCCTTCGAGTGACCGTTTTGATGCCGCCCTTGCATCCCTTCCCCAGAGGAAAAACGACGACCGACTTCTGACGAACGGGCCGACTTGACCGACTTTCGTCAGGTTTTGTTGGCAGCGGATGCATTTCAAGCTTGTTCAGTGGGGAGGTTCTCACTTGCAGCCTCCACAGGCTTTGCGCGACGTGCCGTGGCACACCATGGAGAAATGACAACATGTTGGATTACAGTGGAGATTCTCAGGTTGATTTTGGGAAGCACGGCTGTTTTCTTGTTGCCACCACGCAAAGCCCATTAAAAGTTTAGCAAGCTTGAGGTACCATCCTCTAGTTGTTTCCCTGTTTCCCGGGTCTGTGTCGCCAGAGACTACCAAGATCCGCTTCGCCCAGGTGCGCCAGTGATCCACTGGCAGCTGGGCAATCACACTGACCCGGCGTTGCAAAGCGTGCTGCAGCCGACCTTGGACGAGGCCAACGAGCTGATGCTACAAGTCCTTGAGATTCCGCCGGAGATCTTCCAGTTTGGAACACTTCAAGTCGACGTCGATGTCTCTGAAGTCTCAGAAATGGACGTGGCCCGGCACGGAACCCGACGAAGGTCGAACTCCAAGCCTTTTAACGAAGGTCGAACCCCAACCTTCAAACGTTTGGAAAGACCAAACTGCCAGAACCAAGCCTGCTGTGTGACTGGTGTTTGCAGCTCGGGCGTTGTGATCGCTCGTAGGATGGCTTAGAGATTGAAGTCATGGCCTCGATCAGCAACTGGCAAGCAGAAGCTGAGGACGTGAGTGTGGAGGTCACGGTGACTTGGCGTGAGTGTGGACATGAAGCTGAGGACGTGAAACGAAGAAACCGGTGATGGTTTGAACTGTGATGTTTGTGATATGTGATGTGTGATGTGCTTTTTGTTTGTTTCAAAGGATTCGGTGAAAAAACATGGGCGCTTCATCTTAGAACTGTGCCTCTTAGACCTGGAAGCCGTTCGGCACGGCCGCGCCGTTGACGCGGCTTCCTCGCGGCAGAACTGCGGCTCGCCCGCGCCTCGGCGCAGTCTAAGGTCTTCCATGTGGAAACACCGCTTCTTCAGATCTCGCCCAAGTCGCTGAAGAACTTCAATATTTCCAACTACGAGGAAGTGGAGATGGCTGTCGATGTCTTCCCGGCGGTGCAATGCATCAACTCCAGTGATGTGCCGCCCTCCTTGTCGGTGCAGTGGGAGTATTGGCAGAGGAACGAGAAGATTTGCATCGAGTTTCTCCCCACGTCAAGCGGAAACATGTCGCTGGACAACATGTCGAACGACTCGAATGATTCCAATGTCACTGAGAACCTGAGCAATGACTCGAACTCGTCCAACATCTCAGGCAGGTTGTTGTATGGCGGGCTTCTTTTGAGTCTTTGAGCTTTGCAAAATCCAGAGGTGTTCAAGGCACGTGAGACAACACATAGACCATCATAGACCAATCGACCAAACCCAGAAAAGGACAAAAAGGATTCACCCTGGATCCCCTTGCTTGAGACATGGGTTGAAGCTTCCAGGGGTGGACTTCGTTCAGGTCCTCCTAGTCACATCGAAAAGTCTCCCAGTCACATCGACCTGTTGTGAAGCTTCACATAGTCGTCTCTGTGGCCGACTCCCCGTCGTCTCTGTGGCCGAATCCGGTGGAGCAAACGAAATCGGCCTCCTCCCCGGGACACAGACCGGGCCTCTTTTTGGAATGGTGAAACAGACCGGGACGACTTCCACTCCATCCGCCCACAGGAGAAGTCGTCGAGCGACCCTGCATTGAGTGGCTTTGGCAGCGCCTTGAGAACACCTCCTTCCGCGACCTCAACCGTCGACCTGGCTCCCTGCGTTTGCCGGCCTTTAGCTTTCAGCCCAATAGCAGTCACCGCTTTCGGGCGGTGTCCACGTTCGAGGTCGGGTTTGGGAGTTGGGGTTTCGAAGCAAAAAAACGCAAGGTGCTGGAAGATGTCATGTGGTCATATCTGGTCATATCAGTCATATGACATATGGGTATATATGTACGGGTATGTATGGGTCAACAAGTAGGATGCAAGTGAATAACCCAGCAATCTAGCAACCGAGCATGAGCCTGTTCCTCTACAAGCTTTGACTACCCTTTTGGGTATGGGACTTAGCCATGGCGCTAGCAGCATCTAAATCTATCCAGGTTCTTTGGGTCATAGAATTCACCCACCAAACAAGGGGATATCCAGTTATAATCATCCTGCAATACATATAATTAATATATAGATAGAATATGATAGAATAAATTATGATAAAATAGGGGAACATCCTAAAGCCAATAGGAAGCTGGTCATATTTTTGGAGTTATACGAACTTTGACCCTCCATACCCACCCGCAGCGTCAGGGATACGAAGGCAGCAAACCCTCGGTGGTGTTCACCGTGAACGTGCGACCAAGTACCACGCGTCTTGGACGCTACCAGGCCGTTCTTGTTGAATTTGTTCCGTCTTGCCAGGTGGTCGGGGGAAGGCTTCGGAAAAGCATCCGAAGCTGAAGAAGAAAAGGGCCCAGCAACCAACAGGGGCCCTGCCGCAGGGTTCACTTGTTTAGGCCACCAACCGAAGCACGGAGAAGCACGGAGAAGCACCCAACATCAGTCGACGATGCACCGGTTCACCACCGAGGCCAGTGGCGGTCATTTCGGGACCCTCCACGGTGTCTGCCCTTTGCCCCTTCAACCTCAGTGCCAGTGAATCCTATGACGTGACTTGGTGACGAACAAGGCCCAAGGCAGTCTCTTTGGCGAACTGGGGGCCACTGGAGGTCCTGCAGTTTTTTTTGCATTTTTCCTCGGGGCCAAATGTGTCAGAAATGCTTGACACAACGAGTATTCAGACCGATCCCGAGGCCTCGGTGCCCAAGGACGATGAAACAAGTCGCCTGGAGTTCTCATGGTCTTGCATGGTTGGGATGGTGATCGGATACAACGAGACGGAACTCCTGGAAGCAGAGGAATGCAATCTGACCATCACAGATGACTGGACCCAGAATCCCGTCATAGAGGCAGAGGGGGATCTACTGGAAGAGGGAAGCTACACGTTTCGCGTCAAGGTGCGACGAGTGAATCTCCATGAGCAAAACCGGACGAGTGAATCTCCCCCCGCCAGCGGTCCTCCAGATCCACGAGGCCCCGATGGCGCTCCGGTCCGACCAGATCCAGAATCTCCTCATGGAGAAGGGTGGTGGGTGGTTCATGTTAGACGTCGAGCCATCCCAGTGGTTCAGTTGCAAGTCCCATGGGCTGATGGCGACGAAGTCTCTGTAGCAAGGAACCTCGAGCCAGCTATAGCTCATGTCTCTGGAAGTATGGCTTGTCCGATACCGAATGACTGGGCGTGGCATTGGGTGCTGATTGACGATGCCTATGTACTTGCCCTTATGAAGACTACAGTGCAGCTTGACCGCAGAAGAGTTTTGCAAGATGCACGACTAGCTAAAAAGGAACGTCACATGCTCATCATGCACGTGAACTTCAAGAGCCTTCAGATCTTCCCGTCACACACGTGTATACACAAAGCCGGCTTGCAGTTGACTAAAGCTGGAGAGAACCACTGGTGGTGCATTTCTCGTGTTGTTGCATCGACAGCGCGCCAGGCGGTTTATGGGAGCTTCTCTTGCTGAAGTTGCAACGGCAGATTTTAAAGGAGATCTGCTGGTACCAGCCAACTCCTATACCTATGCTCTGGTGGCGCACAACAACTCGGACTGGGTCAAGCAGCTTGTGCCTGGGAGAAGCATGCTCTCAGACTTGATTGCTGCAGGCCTGTGCTTCTGCTTTTTTTCGGACGTGGAAGGTGAGAGATCAATCTCACCTAACACGACACCTGAGGAATTCAGGTGTCGTGTCTCTTGGCAAGCGAAGTGTCGTGTCTCTTCCTGGTTGATTCAACTGCACCGACTCGGCGGGCTTCGGGTTACCCACCCTCTTGGGGGGCGAGCCTTCGTGCGCCCTGAAAAATAGAGAAATCATAGCCTCTTCACCATTTGGTGGGGTACTCAAAGGGTTTGTGCATGAGCAGAACGGAAGCGTCCAACTTCTTGCCCAGATCAAAAGCCGGTTCCGTAGCTGGTGGTCACTGGGTGGTTTTGGGGATCCGAGCTTCCTCGCCGAAGGTCCGGTCTTTCGCCGAACGTCGCGAGGCGCCCTGGTCTACACCTCGCCGCCCTTTCGCGCCAATGGGCCGCCCCGGGAGGGCTTGATGGAGCTCGTGCCGCGCTCGGGCGAAGGGCTCTTGACGCCCTTCGCTGTCAGCAGCTTTGGGTGGAGGGATGAGGAGGAAAGCCTTCTGAGCTATTCGTTCTTCCGACCCTCAGAGTTCGATGGGCAAAAGGGCCGGAGTTCGTTTTCGTCGTTTTTCCAGGTCTCTTTTTGGAGTCAGGTCACCGTATCTCTAGGTCTCATAACTTGGGATATGCTTGCCGCGAAATTCTTCGCTCGATGGTTCCGCCATTCTTATATAGGTGTTGCCTCGTCTGTCAGGTTGCTGTTCGCACAGCCGAGGATTTCCTTTAGCCGTCTCAGGCGTGTCAGCCGATGGCAATGGTGGGATCATCTTCGACGAGGGCTGGACTGGATGGTCACTCCCGAAGATCGAGTGGAGAAATACCTCCAGCAGCATGTACTTCCGGAAGCAAGGGGGGTTGACCCTCCAAACTTGGGTGGGGTCCTCAGTGCCTGTGTGTTCTAAACAAATGGGAGACTGTGCCGCACGTGTGCCTTTTTGGTTGTGTTGCTGTGTTGTTTGACATGGTTTTGGTTTGGAGACCATTCATGGCATGTGGCATATGTGATCATATGTGGCATAGGAAAAAAGACAAAAGTGAAGACGAGCTGTTGCGTTATCAGCAGTGATGCCTTTTGGAGGAGTCCAGCAATATGGTCTCTGACTTGCTCATGGCTGTGGGGTCCTATTTCATCGTGGTGCGAGTGAGGGACCCTCAGGGCGGCGAGGCGCCGACTCCGGGGAGGTGGCCGTGTCGCCTCGGTGCCCCACTGGCGCCCCAAAAAGGATCCCAAAGGATTCACTGGCGCCAGTGGTGGAGGGTTTTTCGGATCTGATGGTAGGGTCGTCTGTGGGCGGAACCGAGGCTTCTGACCGGCGACAGGGCCGAAGCGGGCCGTTGAGCGGACGGATCAGTCGGTGGAGATCCCTGGGAACCTGCTCTGTTCGTCGCGTTCTTGCTCCTAGTAGTAAGGCCAGGAGCCCCTATAGTAGCGAACAATTGCTCCTAGTAGCGATGCCAGGAGCCCCTCCAAGTAGTAACCTAGTAGCGTCCTCTACCCCCCGCCCATGGCTGTTGAGGATGTTTTCTTTGGAAATGCTTTCGATCCGCGGTGGAAGTTCCTGGTTCGGTGGCTCGTGCCACTCTCTACTCTCAGCACGCGCCCGATGTGGCCAGGGTATCGCAGCTGTGCTGGGTCCGGTGGTGGTGGAACCGGTGAACGTCACCGACGTGACCGCGGTCCTACAGGCGCCCCAGGGCGAGGTCGACCTCGCGATGTCAACTCCGGTGATCCAAAACGAAGACTGCAACGAAGACTTGAAAACTGAAGTGAGAACTCTTTCAGGGTGCTCTGCAAAGGATTTTGCCACATCCGAAAACTTTGATGTCATTTGCAGAAATTGTATGAATTTGTAGCCTTTCAAGAGTGGCACATATTTGGGAAGCTATCAGCTACTGGTTTACAAGCACCTCTGAAAACCCTCCTGTCTCTATATCTGAATATCGAAAGATCATACCCAGGGGGTCAAGAATTCACACCCCCTGGGCCCCAGCTGCTCACTCCTTGGCCCAGTGGCTTCACCCACAACAGGGTCTCCAACATGAGCAGGTCACCGGGAGTAGGTGAGGGGATGGTGAGAGTAATACTATGTGTGAAGTGTACGCTGTACACTTAGGTTCTTGAAGATGAACCTGTTTCATGTCACCCGCAACTCACCTCTCAAGCATGGGAGGGTTCATGCGCGCTGAAAAGGCGCGGCCGTGAGGATCGTTGATCCTCGTGCTTTCTTTTTCGACACGGACTTCGTTCGCCGTGCACGACAAGTTCACATTGGTAGCGGAGCCCCATTCCGGGGCTCCCGCGAACTTTGTGTCTACTTGAACGAGGCCCTGCTTAAGACCTTTGTCACCTTCACTCTGCCGAGCTCTTCTGGCGCCTCGTGGAAGAGACCTTTCGGCTTAGGTTCCACCTCCTGCTGAAGACCTACGGAAGTGACAATGGCAGCAGCGTCCGCCGGGACGAAAGAAGTAGAGACACAGAACCTGCGCGACTCCTACGTCCCCTTGTTCTCGAACCAGCCCTCAGAGTACAAAGAGTACAGGAAACGCCTCAACCTCTACCACAAGAAGATGGTCATCAGCAAACGAGCTGGTGAGTCTGTGCTGAACATCCTTGGAAGCTTCAGCGGCGTGACCTGGAAACTCTTCGAGGATTATCCCGTTGAGGATGTGGAGAAGAGTGACGCCTTCAGCAAAATACTCGAAAAGCTGGACAAGAACTTTGAATATGACGACCGCGTCCTTCTCCCCAACGACTTTGAGGAGTTCTTCAACCTCATTCAGAGGAAGCCTCAGCAGAGTCTCCTGACCTACGTCACGGAGTTTGACACCTCCTATCGGAAGCTGATGGCACACAATGTTTCACTACCCGGCCAAGTCCAAGGATGGCATCTTCTCCGGCGTGCCGCCCTGACCAAGGAGCAACGCCAAATGGTGACTTTGAAAGCTCCAACGCTGGAAAAGCAGGCCGTCATCGATGCGCTCTACCTCCTCTTCGGTCAAGACTATAAAGCGGGTGGTTGGAACAACGACAGAGATCGAAAGTTCGCCCGCTGGAAAGGTAGAGGCTATGCAGCCTATGAGGATGATGACTATGCCTGGCCATCCGACACTGCCTGGACCGATGAGAGTGTCTACTATGAGGCCGATGAATGGGGACCTGATGACTACAACCCTGACGAGGACGAATCCTTTGACTATGACGCCATCTACTATGGTGAGGAAGAGCCAACAGAAGACCATGGCGAATCGACTGAGGATCCCTATGAGCTTGCCGAACAGTACGATCATGCCTATGCGACCTACCTTGATGCAAGGCAACGATTCCAGCAGCTCAAACTGGCTCGCGGATACCTTCCAGTGGTCGCCCTTACTGATGGTCAATCCTCTCCTATGGCGTCCAGCCCTTCGAACAAAGGCAAGGATCGCAGTCCCTCAAAAGGGAAGTCCAAGAGCAAGAACAAGGGCAAGGGCAAGAATGTCATCCGCTATCCACCCAACACCGGTGGCAAGGCAGCTGATCCTCGTGGCCGAGCACAAGCAACGACCTGCCTCAGATGTGGCCAACCTGGTCACTGGGCTGCACAATGCCCGCAGTCGGCTCGATCAAGTTCGACGGCTACCAAACGTCCTGCTCCTGGTCCAACAGAAGGAATGGCCGTCCAGACCGAGCATGCCCTCGTGCTCTTCCAGGACGAGTTCGGTGATGAACGTCCTGATGCCACGATGCTGGATCCTGGTGCCTCAGCCTTTCTCAGCGGATACGGTCCTTTCAAGCGATATGTTGACCACCTCAACTCCATGAACTACCCGGTCAACACGATCCGGTTCGCTCGATGCGAACGACAGTTCCACTTTGGCGGAGACGCTTCATCTCAAGCTCGCTGGACCGTGGATCTTCCGGTGATGTTGGATGGCAACTATGGCACGATCCAATGCTACCTGGTGCCCGGAAACACTCCAATGTTGATGGGACGACCTGTCATTGAGGCGCTCCACATGGGCATTGATTTCAGCCAGAAGCAAATCCGATTCGGCCGCTCTCCTTGGCAACCGGTCTTGGTTGGCAAGCATGGTGAATACCTACTCAGCCTTACAGCTGGAATGGAGCATGTGCCGGATCCTACGAAGAGCTTGTTCACCCTGCACATCGCAGAAGAAGTTCCTGGCAGCCACCTGCATCTGGAAGACTTTAACAACCTGGAACAAGTCTTCGCTGCCGATGAGCAAGTGCCTTCGGACAACAACTTCACCTCAGCCCGACTTCATCGACATGCCCTTCGCACCATGGAGGTACAGCTGACCACCATGATGAACTCCACTGAAGCCTACATCACCAATGAGCTTCACCAGCCTCCTGAACACAGAAGGGTGTTGTGGGAAGTGTACTGTGGCAAGGCCCGCACGGGCCAGGTCGCTGAAGAACTTGGCATGAAGGTCGAGCGCTTCTCCCTGGAAACTGGTTGGGACTTCAACCTCAAGAGCCACCAGCAACAGTTCCTACAGCGATTGGACGAGGAGGAGCCTGATGAAGTCCTTCTCGCACCTGAATGCAAAGTTTGGTCCCGCATGCAGACTTTGGCATGCAGAACGACGGCTCAACAAGAAGCCTTGGTCGCTCGAAGAGAACATCATCATCGTCGACACCTCTGCTTTGCCAAGCGCATCTTCCTCCGGCAGGCAGCAAATGGTCGACACGCTCACCTGGAGCAACCACGGCATGCTCTCAGCTGGAACACTCAAGCCTTGAAGGCTCTACCTGGCTACAACGCCGACTTCGACCAATGCCGCTATGGTGCTATGTGCCTGGACACTGATGGCCGATGGCGACCTGTCCAAAAGAGCACTCGACTGAGGACCACCAAGAAGGCAGTCCTGGAAGCTCTGCAACTTCGCTGCACTCATGATCATCAACATTGTCCCCTCGAAGGAGCAGCTCCTGGTCTTGGCCCTCGAACGACCTACCTTGAGGACTACCAACCTGGCTTTGCAGCTACACTGGCCGCAGCACTCGCTCAGCCTGAACCAGGCCAACTTTGGGACACCGCCTATGCAGTTGATGGTTCCGAGAAGAAGGCAACTGGTCATTTGCTCAAGCTTCAAGCTGAACACCATCAAGATGCTCTACGTGTTGTACAACGCTTGCATCGGAACCTGGGTCATCCTTCACCTGAGGCCTTAGCTGACCTACTCTTGGCAAGAGGCGCTCATGCATCTGTTGTTTCCGCCGCCAAGGAGTACAAGTGTGTCGCTTGCTTGAAGCACAAGAAGCCGAACCAAGTGGCTCCATCGTCCATGCCACAGCCAAAGAGCTTCAACGACACCATCCAGGCCGACGTCTTCTACCTGAAACCAGGTGATCGGAAGTTCTCCATCCTCAGCATCGTTGATGTTGGCACCAAGTTCATGGCTGCTAGCCTGGTGTTGGAGGAAACCTCTGAGTCTTACTCGAAGGCCCTGGAAAAGGTCTGGCTACGCCACTTTGGACCTCCTCGTGTCTTGGTCACTGATGAAGGAAGACCATGGCTTGGTGGCACCTTTGAAACTTGGACCAGTGCTGTTGGCATTGATCATCAAGT